AAATGAAAAAAAAAAAAAAAAAAAAAAAAAAGGAAAGGCGACATGGGGCAAAGCTAGGACATATGGAAAGATGAAGGGAGGCACATGTGATCCTCCCCAAGGACAGGTGGTTCCAGCTCAGGGCTGCACATCTCCTGCAGACGGGCACTGGTCAGGGTGCACTAACTCAGCCTCCCAGGGGGTGAAGGTCCCCAGGAGGGGAGACAGAGACTACAACTGACCTGATGTAGGTGGATTGGTCTCGGAAGGTGTCGCACAGGGGGTTTTCTTCGAGCCATAGCTCTTCTAGCTTCAGCCCCTTTACCTTGTCCAATTCCCGCTCAGATTTCAACTGCAAAGGAGAAAAGGAAGGAAAAGAGACCCCAATAAAGAGAGCCAGCTAGATGCCCACACCTCAACCCTGAACCTCATCTCTGAAACTCCTTCCTTTGCCTCTTGCCACCACTGGCAAGTCCTCTTCACCCTCTGTCCACCCCAACCACAGCACATTCAGGTCTCAGTCCTCACCTCGTTTCTGGAGAGGTTTAGGATCTTTAGGTTGGGTGCTTTCTGCACAATGCTGGACATGTCATCCAGTCTATACAGCTTGTTACTGCTCAAATTCAAGGACAACAGCTGTGGGGAGAGGAAGCATCAGCAGGGAGGGGATCAGAGACAAATCCGCCTCCCAACGCCATCCTATCTGTCTCACCCAACAACGGGGCGATGGCCTCACCTCAGGAATGTTGTCCTCAATGATTTGTAGGGTAGCTGCCATACAGCTTCTACGATTCAGGACGACATCAATGTTTTGGGCCACCAAATCTTCAGGAAGAAAAGGGAAGTGTGAGAGGGTCTGCCTAGGCCAGCATTAGTACCAAACCATTCTTGAACCTCCCCGCCTGAAAGATCCTGCTGTCGCCACCTATCTGTGAATTGCTGCCAACAATACCTGGGTCTAAACGGAGGCCTTTGAGGTCAAGTGCTTGTTGGGAGCCATCGTATCGTTTGCTCATGATCAGCTACAGAGGAAGAAAAAGGCTTTAGTGGTTACTGGGGTTGTGTATTTGAGGGGAGGGGCGTGGGGATATGAGAGCTGCTAGGACTGGGGTGGAAACACGTGACTTGAGCCTGCCTCACCTTTAGTTGCTCTACTTGCTCTGGCTTCAGTTCATTCTGTACAGTAAGGGGTGGAGGAGAGGAGTTGATGATGATAGATATCTGCAGAGCAGAAATAAAGAAGGGTGAACTCTAGGGAAGCCTAAGCCCCAGGACCAAGACCCAGGTCCCTGAGCACCAGTCCCTGCCTCCAGCCAAGCCAGGCCCTTTATACACACCCTTCGGTTCTCTTGATCCAAAATCTTATAGTTGACAGCCTTCAATGCAGAGGCAGTACTGGCATCCTCAACAAAAAACTGGGCCCGTGTGTTTTCATAGTGAAACTGCAGGAGAAAACAAGAGCAGTAGACTTCGAACCCAGAGCCCCTGGCCCATCTGGCCCCTCTGCCAGCCATTCAGGCCTTATCTTACCTCAATGGGGGTGAAAGGGACACTGCATTTGCTCTGAATCATACTCAGGAGCCATGACTTGTCATATTTCCTGCCATAAGGAATCTACATGAGAGAAACAGAAGAGAACAGCATGTAACTAAGGCGAAACAGCAGATACAACCTAGTGCTCTTTCATAGAGTCTGCCAAGCTTTAAAAGATTCTAAAGAAAACACCAGTTTCCACTTCCCAACCAGGTATCACGTTTCCCTTTAAATGACCTCTCCTTTCCTCCCAATCCTACAGGTTCCTTCTACTTCTTCTCTGAACCTGCCCTCAGGTGTTCTAAGATATTGATCCTTAGGAGAAAGGATGGATACCTGACTGTGGCATAAACAGCTGAGAAGACTGATTTATGGTTGAAGAGTAAACACCTTCACTCTGAACCCAGCCCCCCACTCCTCCTGCACCATCTACTTCCAAGATACTCACTGTAATCTTAAACCAGTTCTTCGAGGTCCCGTCCTGGCTGGTGCCAGCCCCTCCTCTCTGTGGAGGAACTCTGTCTCTCCGCACAGTAACATGAATTCGGTCTCGATCATGCCAATTATCACCCCGACGGTTGGGTCGCGCAGCATAGGGGTTGCTGAGGAGAAGCAGAGAATGATACATCCATAGATGCTAGGGATGTCTTCTCAAAGACCTTGCTGCACTCTTATCTGGGCTACAACGAAAACTGTTCAACCATTAAGTGGGTCCTGGCATTTCTCTCTGGTAGGCAAGAAGAGAAATGCCATGGAGTAAGAGGGCTATATAAATGAATACGTCACTGAAGTCAAACCAGAACAACCAGATACTTACTATCGAACTCGGGGAACGTCCTGGGCATCACTCATTGCCACATCTCTGTCATCATCCTCAAGGCGGGAAGACCGAATGCCAGTACCTCCTCTGCCAGACCTACGGTTCCCCTCACCACACTTCCACCGGAAAGGACCCCGGCCTTTCTTTCTCCTTTGAGGGAAACTAACTCGATCATCATGCTCTGGAGTTGGAAACAGAATACAAATTAGAAGGCACATCGCTGGTCTAACTGCTTCTGCTGTGACAATCAGTCTCCCGCCAGCACCCTGCTGGATGAGGTACACACTAACTACATCGGCCACACTCCACGCAAACTCCTCCGCCTGTCCAGAGAAAGAGCCCTCTCTGTGGGATGGCAGCATCAGGGGAAAACCACTGGGAAACTGCAGGGCTTTTGAAAAATAAAACAGAAACTGGAGTCCCAGAGAAGAGAAACAGAATGTGGAAGTGAGTGATCCAAAAGTGGAACTGGACACAACTCAGACCCTCTGAAGGTTACCTGAAATCTGCTTTCACGCAGCCTCCCAAATCTACTTAACCCACTCAATACTTGGGATGATGACCTCTCCCCCATCCCCTCAAACCAACCAATCACAATGATTACAAGAGCCTTCCGTAAATTGCTTCTTGTGCCTATACAGCACAAATGTCAGTTACAAATATGACCAATTTAAGGACTTTAAAGGCCTTTTAAGGACTTTAAACTGCCACTCTGAAGCTTTGGGGGTGAGCTCTTTGTTTCTTTGGCCAGAAATGTCTTCTAACTCAGAAGACAAATCCTAGATTCAGGATCTAGTGGCAGCTAGGGTGCTAACCAAGGGTCCTCAAATACTCTCCAGGAACATGACCCTCTGAATCCTGGTGTGTAGGAACGGCTTCCTAAAAAAAAGATCCATGACTCCCAAAAAAGGGTCTGTCTAACGCAAACAATGGATTTCAAGAAATGACCCTAGAAAAAAAGAATACATGAACAGAAGGCATAGCTAACTTTCACTGAGAACTTTCTCCAGTGCCAGGCACTATGATACTCCAGGCACTTTCTATGAATGATCTCATTTTCACACACACACACACAAACACACACACACACAGGACGCAAACTTAGGAGGTAGATACTGTTTCTACCTGCACTAAGAGGGTGGAAAATGAGGCCTGAGAGCTTAACTCACTCAAGCTTGGTGTAGCCAACACAGGATTTAAACCTCGGCTGTCGTGTGCTCCAAACCACTACCCTGGACCCAGCGCAGTGTTTGGTCTGGCATCGAGTCGGCGTAAGTCTAAAACATTTACCAAAGTCAAAGCCGCAGGAAGTGGGGCAAGACCGACTGGACGCGACAGATAATAGGGCACAGGTAGCCCATGAGCAGGGCACTGACTCACATTAAAAAGAGTCTGGCCGCCACACTGAAATGACAGGGATCCGCCACCCACAAAGTTCAAAGGCATCTCGTCGCCCCGCCGCCGAGCCACCCGCTGCGAAGCGCAGCTCCTCGCAACGCCAGAACCCCGCAGTCAACAACTCGGGCGCCCACCCTCGAGTGCGGCGGGGCCGCCCGGGCCGCCT